TTATTTTGAGACAGGGTCTCACTAAGTTGCCAATACTGGCCTTGAACTTGTGATCCTCCTGCCTCAGCCTCCTGAGTAGCTGAGACTACAGGGGTGTACCACCGTGCCTTGCTTTTCTTCCTCTTTCTCATAAACACATTATTTATAAAGTTTTGTCATAAACCAGATTTTTGATATAATATTTTCTCTAATACAACACTTCAAGGTGTTATTATTTCACACATGAGGGAATTTAATGTTGAGGAATTTGTTCAAAGTCATATGGTTAATAAACTAGTTTCTTACTGTTGCTATAACAAAGTACTACACCCTGAGGGTTTCAATTGATACAAATGTATTATCTTATATTCTGGAGCCCAGAAGTCTAAAATGGGTCAGCAGGACTGTGTTCCTTCTGGAGGCTGTAGCAGAGATCTGTTCCTTACTTTTTTCAACATCTAGGGTCTGTTTACATCCGTTGGCTCCTGGATCCATGTCATTCTGACTTTTGCATCTAGTGTCACCTGTCTTTTGACTCTCCTGCCTTCTTTATGTGAGGACCTCTGTGGCTGAAGCCCACTTGGATAATCTGAGATAATTTTTCCATTTCGGGATCCTAAACTTAATAACAGCTGCAAAGGCCATTTGACCATGTGAGGTAACATAATCACAGGTTTTAAGGACAAGGATGTAAATATCTTTGGGGGATGGCTGGGGATATAGCTCAGTTGGCAGAGTGGTTGCCTCACATGCACAGGGCCTGGGTTCAATCCCCAGCACCACACACACACACAAAAAAAAAAAAAAAAAAAAAAAAATCTTTGGGAGAAGTTAGCACTATTCCATCTATGACAGTGAGTGGCCAAGCAAGGGTTCAAATCCAGTGCTGACATATTCATAAATCTATGATCCCTCTCTAAATTACCCTGCCCCTTCCTTCAATTCTACCTCTCCTTGGAGCAGCTCTGGGTCCTCAGATTCCCAGAGAGAAACGGATGTGAAAGACCCTAAAGCTGAACACACAGGGAGCAGCTCTTGATGCATGTGCAAGGATTCCTCTCCCAGCCTGGGAAGGAAGAGGAGGGCAGGAGACTCCACTGTCACACCACATTCTCCAGAGAGGGAAGGCAGAAGTGAGAGAGGTCACTTCAGGGCCCAGAGGAGAAATCACTGGGGAGTGGGAGGGAAGGGACAAGACAATTTTGAGATCTCACACACCAAGACATGGCGCACTCCTCTCTCTACCTCTGCTTGGGCAAACATCAAAGAGCTGCTAAAGCTCCTTGCCCTGTGGAGACAGGATACCTGCCTCCAACCTCAGCTGTGGGGCTACAATCAAGATTCCTCCCTGGATGATACTAGATTTCTTAGACTAATGCAAAATGCATTCTTAATGTGTTATGACTTTTTAATTTATCTTAATTATCTGAGAAATCAGGAAGAAATAATGCAGAATACTCATTTTGAATATTATGGCCAAGCTCTCTGTCATGAAATACAGAGTTATGAAAAGAAAAATATTCCAAATACTCTGAGTGAAAGATATGCTTTCCTGGAATGTTTCCAATCAAAGGCTTTTATCATGTGAGAAGTTTATGTAGCAACTGAGCAAAAACATGTTTTCTCATGAGTTATTTGTAGTTATTGATCCTTTCTATATGTTTGATTTTGTTCTGATGTATTAAATATTTCTCCTCTTCAATTATAATGAATCTCTTCAGGAAAAAAAAAAGATTCCTCACCCAGTGCCTTAATTGCCTCATCTGTAAAGTGGGGATAACTGTACCTATTTCATAGGTTTTTCATAAGAATTAAACGTTCACTTGTGGGAAAGGCTTAGAACAGTATCTGGGACAACATAAGTGCTATGTAGATATTGGTGGGGAGGGTGCAGGTGGCTGAATGGGGGCAGTTTTTTGGGACCTCAGTGTCTAAACTTAGCCTGTCTCGAGGTGCTGCAGGTGGTTGTGTCTGGGAGAATGTCAAGTTGGGGCTGCATGAACCATGCATGCTTGACCTACCATTGTTGCAGAACATGTTTGAAAATTCTTCCCACCTTTTACCTGGGCCCCTGGATTGACTGCCTTCTACAGAGGCCCTATTTTTCAGGGACTACTATACCTCAGCTGGGCCCAACTGCTAGGAGGTTTCTTTCCACACTTGACTATTTTGGCAACTTCCTACCAAGCATATTTCCACCACAGAAATTTTCCAGAACATTTGCTTCAAATTGTGTAGCACCTTCTGCCTCTACCATTTTAATTACTAGGCCAAAGATGGGCTGCTGGGTGTGTACATATGAGACCAGAATCTCTGGTAGGTGGAGGAATCTGGTAAGGATCTGATATTTAAAGTCAGACAGGAATTGGTTTGAATACCAACTCTGCTGCTTACAGTCCTGGAGACTTTGGACCTGCCATTTAATACTTCTAAACCTTCATTTTCTCATCTATAAAATGAATATAATTACAGGGCCTAACTCAGAGGATTTTTGCAAGCATTGTGCAATACATGTAAAGCTTTGGCACAGGGCTTGGAGCATATTTTAATTAACTCCCAATATATAATGACCATTTCTTCTAATCTACCTAAGTAATCAAATTGCATGGCCTTCCTGTATAATTCCAAAGACACAGAATGACAAGGCTTCAGACTCATCTGTCTCCAGCTCTCTCACCTCACCTTTGGGAGGTGAGAAGTATCTGCTGCATAATGACAGGTCTGGTCAAGGAGGCCAGATGCAATGGATAGATGTGTTAGCTCCTAGATCTAAGAGACTTGTTAGCAAGTCAGCAAGGAAGGACAAGCAGGGAACACAGTTGAATGAACCCAGAGATCCCAAGGACCTTCAAATGTATCTGGTTGTCCTTGGGTTTGGCCTCTTAGGATGGTAGAAATCTTGAGGCTTCCTTTGACTTGAGGATATTTCTCTGGTTTGGCTAGAAGTGGTGCTGCAAGGAATTAGAGTAGATTTGTGGCTGATTTGAGGGGCTCAAAGGAGAAATCTGTTGCCTTAAAGATACTCTTTTGCCAGGCTGGGTGCGGTGGTGCAGGCCTGTAAACCCAGTGGCTGGGGAGGCTGAGGTTGGAGGATGGTGAGTTCAAAGTCAGCCTCAGCAAAAGTGAGGCACTAAGCAACTCGATGAGACCCTCTCTAAATAAAATACAAAAGGACTGGGGATGTGATCATGATTGCGTGGCCCTGAGTTCAATCTCTGATACAAAAAAGAACATACTCTCCTGCCGGGTGTGGTGGCACACGCCTATAATCCCAGTGGCTCAGAAGGCTGAGACAAGAGGATTGTGAGTTCAAAGCCAGCCTCAGCCAATATGAGGTGCTAAGCAACTCAGTGAGACCCTATCTCTAAATAAAAGACAAAATAGGGCTGGGGATGTTGCTCAGTGGTCAAGTGCCCCTGAGTTCCAGTAACCCCTCCCCCCAAAAAGAAAAGATACTCTCCTTTGACAGGCTTAGTGGCATATGTCTATAATGCCAGCAGTTTGGGAGGCTGAGGCAGGAAAATTGCCAAATTCAAGGCAGTCTCAGCAACTTAGCTAGGACCTAAGCATTTTAGCAGAACCTGTCTCAAAAAAATTTAAGAAAAATATTTTTCAGGGATGGAAATGTGGCTCAGTGGCTAAGTGCCCCTGGGTTCACTCTCTGGTACCAAAAAAAAAAAAAAAAAAAAGATATTCTCCCTTCCCTCAACCAAGTCCACAAGCATGGTTAATGCTATGGCCACCATGTAGAAGTACTCTCAGTGGGCCAGAAGCTTGGTTACAGCACTTAAAAATTATTCTCTTAATCCTGGTCAGTTGCTGTTGATATCCCCTATTATAAACCAGAAAACCGGCACTCAAGAGACAGGAATTTACTCAAGGTCACACAGCAGGTAAGTATCAAAGCCATCTGAGACAAGGGTTGGTCCTGGCTCTTTTCATCTTGCCATTTTCCTCCTCAGTCCTTGGGTCTTGGAACTCCAGAGGAAGAAAATAGCAGCTGCTGGACAGGTTAAGAGGAGCATCTGCTAAGGATACAGGATCTTTCCTGCAGGCAAGGAAGGAAGGGATGGGCAGGAAATAATACCTGGGCCACAATCTGCCACAGATAGAGGGCAGCAGGGGTCTCTGGGTGACTTTCAGGCTGGGCTGGACAATCACTAGGGAGAGGCCAATAAGCCCTAATACCTCACCTGTCAACACACTGTAAATATTTATTGAGCGCCTTGGAACATGAGAACTGGCCCCTCCCTCACCTGTCTCTGGATCTACGCCCACCAACTGCTGAGATCACGTGCAGTTGTAAATAGAAGTAAATATGCTGCCTCGAGAGGTTGTGTACCAGCCAGGGAGCACACTGAAAATAAAAAGGAAGGGTCACAAGTAGGAAAAAATTCCAGGACACCCAGGACTGACTGAGGACTTCAACTTTGGGGGGTTTTGAATTGTGTCTTTTGCTAGGACACAAAATTGCTAATCATTTATCCTGCTTCTTTAGCAACAATAAGGTGTGTGTGACCTCAGCCTGGTCAATCAGAAAAGCTCAATTCCTTGGTCATGTGGATTAGTCTAAGAGAAGAGCACATGGCTTACCCAGTCTAATCAGTCTTCTCTTAGGTGTTTACACATTAAAGGAGACTGAGAAGTCCTGTCTGGGTTGGTTGGTTGGTTTGCACTACTGGGGATTGAACCCAGGAGTGCTCTATCACTGAGCTAGCCCTATTTTATTTATTTACTTTTAAAACAGGATCTTGTTAAATTATCCGAATGGCCTTAAATTTACAGTCCTTTAGTCTCAATCTCACAGGTAGCTGGGATTACAGATGTGTACACCATACCTAGTCACAAAATTTGTGTGTGTGTGTGTATTGTTTTGTTTTTGTGGTGCTGGGGATTGAACCTGAAACTTTGCACATGCTAGGGAAGTGTTCTACCAATGAGCTAGACCTCCAGCCCATATGATTTTTTAGTTCACAAATTTGAACTTAAATACTGAAGTCATATTTCTTCTTCCTTAACAGTGAGGAGTAAGCCTGTCTATAAAGCAAGCGATCATAATTACAGCCCCTAAAGAGAAGAATGTGAGTAGAAGATTGGAAACAAAGTTCTGGTGCTCTCCAGCACATCTCAGGATCCTTTGGCATGTTGCATGGTCTGTGGAGGTTCCCACTGGATACCCAACCTGCCATCAACCCAGTTTAATGCAAACTGTGGTGCCCTTGGAATATGACGTGAATGGCATCCCCTGGAGATGAACAGAACACATTCCACATGACCACACGTGGGAGCCCTGATTACAGATGAGAAACTAAGACTCAGAGGTAAAATGACCTGTCCAAAGTTATATAGACAAGGTCTAAAGACTTCAGAGCCCAGGTTCTGATACACCACCATCTTGTGGCTCACTCCTAAGGTACTGCATAGGCCAGAAAGGAGGTGGCACTCATCACTTCACCTGACCTCCATGAGTAGGAGCCATTATACTCTGGGTAGCACCTCTGTGTCCTGGACACATTGGGGGCCCTTGTTGGTCTAGTCATGAAACTCTGGATTCCTGTGAGTGAATTCATCCTATAAATGAGGGATCAGTAATGAAAAAGGAAGGTTTAGTGACATCTGTGGCTTTTGTCAGACAAGCAACATTCTCCTTCTGGCAATAGAATCCCAAGTTAGCTTTGGAGACCTACTCTCCCTCAATGGATACAATCTTTATGAGACTGTCCATTAAAAAGTCTCACATTCCCTAGTCAGAAAGCAGACATATGATTCTAAGGTTTTTGTATCTTATTCTTTGGAGGGGCTGGTTCATCACATTTTCATCTAATTTATGTAGGGGTGTGTGTGTGTGTGTGTGTGTGTGTGTGTAGCAGGGACTGTAGTGTCCTATCCATAAACACTTACCACTATTTCTGAGCATAACTATAGCTTCCATCCGCAGCCCCTACAGTCCTTTGCCTAGAAGTTGACTCTGGATGCCCAGAGACATGAAAGGGACAGGCCAATAGTGCCAGGAAGTTAAGGGGTCTCTTTTCTAGGAGTCTTTGATCAGTGACTCAGTGAGAATCTGAGTTTCTCTGCTCACCTATACCATAAGAAAATTAGTGAAAAGTGAAATGTATCAGGTTTTTTTTTTTTTTTTGATACATTTGGAGAGAAGTTGGTGGATGTATACCCCAAGTCTCTCACCCCTCAGTGGGATAACATGAGATGTGTTCCATTTAGTCTCCCAATGTACCTACTGGGATCAAGGTCTACTTTACTCCAATGGGGATCTTAATAATGCACACTTTATTGATTTCCTTCTTTTTCCTGCTTTGTTTATCTTCACTCTCCTACCAGTGCTTTCTGGAATTACCTTCTGCCCAAAATGACTTGAAACCTAATATTTTTTTTTAGGTTCTACTCCTGGGGTGACAACCCCAAACCCTTCTGGAGAATTCTTATTCTGCTTAAGTTTGAAAAAATCTGCTTCTGTTGCTTATAACTCAAAAAGTCTACCAAAATTAATATTAGTCTGGAATTGGGTTACATTGCAGCTGGCTGCTGTGTTTAACCTCTTATCTTTCAAAAGATCATCAAAATTCTGGAAGGGAAGAAAGAGGATCTGATGAGTCTTTGTTCCAAGCTCTTCTGTATATATGCTCAGAGGATTTGAGCCACTACCTATGCCTCTGAATGGAACTGTTCAGATGGTATATGGCCAACACTACCAGGTCTTTTATGCAGTCCCACTCCTGGGATGAAGACTGGTATGATAGTTCCTCCCACTTGGTGGTTATCAAGGCAGGACTTCATGTACTAGGAAAGAATATAGATACTAAAGCTCCCACCATGTACCTGGCAGATAATCTAGAAGAAGTTTTTGGAGAGAAAGCACCATACCTATGTCTTTGAAGTCTGGTTCCTTGGGTTCTCAACCAGGTTGACCAAGAAATAACAGAAAATATAGTCCTTGGAATAAAGTACCACCTGTCCTCCCACTTATAGGTATATAGCATAGGATGATTACTGGAGCCAGCCAGTCCCAGAGTAATCTGAAGCCCTGGATCAGTATATCAAGAATCTGGGGCTTAGTTCTTTGCTTATCTGAGGTTTCATTCAATGCCAGATGTATTCATATAGTCAACATGGACATTCCAGGTCTGTATGGAGCATTGAGGATATGAGTGAATCAGGTGTCCCCCTGCCCCTCCTAAGAAGTGTGGGAGATATGCACATAAGCTAGAGAGGATCATAGAACATGACAAGTGCTGCAGGGTTAGATGTTTGTGCAGATATGGGGCCCAGACTGGAGTGGGCTAAAAGCCTGGGAAGAGAACCCAAGAGAGTTGAAATCCAGGAGAATAGCAGGCAGAGAAATAAGCACAAGCAAAGACCACCTACAGGTGGTATGTTTGATGGAGGGAAGGATTAAGGGTCCAGAGTTGAAGTTAGGCTAACAAAGGCTCATTCATGGAGGAACATGTATGTCATTCCAAGGAGTTTGGTTTTCATCTTTGAGTTGATAGTGATTGACTATTTTAATTGAATTAATTAATCATAATGAAACAATATTAAGAAGAGGGATGACAGTCTTTTTACATTTCATAAAGATCACTCTGGAAGCAGACTAAAGGATGAACTGGGAGATGTAAGACTGGAGGTAAGGAGACAATATGAGTAATGGAGGTGACAGGTCACCAAGGCCAAACTAGAAAAAAATATAGAGAAGGTGATGAATATAAGAGAAAATGAGGAGATAAAATCAGTAAGACCTGATTCCTTAAATGTAGAGAAGAGGAAATAAATTCAAAATGTTCCCAGCTTTGCCTTGGGCACCAGGAAGATGATGGCACTGTCTATTGAGATGGAAGAACTAGGATGAGATGGGAGAACTGGGAGGTAGAGCAGCTCTGGGTAGAAAGGAGATAGTAAATTGACTATTGGACATACTGAGCAAGGTATCCATAGAATACCAGGGTGAAAAAATATGTCTTTGGAGCTGGCATAGTGACTGGTACTCCACAACAGATGCTCAATAAATGTCTGTTGTATGGCAGGGTAGGTGTGTCCACAGAGGGATGACTTCAGTCACTATCATCAAGTCCTCCTTAAAGTCAGAGCTCAAACAATTAGATGAAATCTCTGTTTACAAGGGTTGGAGGAGTACCCTTTCCTCCTGCTGCCCCTAAGGAGAGAGGGCCTGAAACTCTGTATAAAGCAGAATGAGTAGTGTGGTTCCAGACCTGGGACTTGAAGTTGGGTACCTGAGGAATCCAGGACAGGACAGGCTGTGGAGCTGGCTGGGTCTAGATCAGGCCTTTTTTTTTTTTTTTTTTGAGAGAGAGAGAGAGAGAATTTTTTAATATTTTTTTAGTTTTTGGCAGACACAACATCTTTGTTTGTATGTGGTGCTGAGGATCGAACCCGGGCCACACGCATGCCAGCGAGCGCTACCGCTTGAGCCACATCTCCAGCCCCTAGATCAGGCCTTCTTAAAGTGAATTCCCACACCTCGACTGCTCAAAGCAGGGAGATGGGCAAGTGAGGACACTTCAGGCTGGAGGAAGGGTGGAGTAGGAAGTGGGCTGGGGAACCAGGGAAGGTGGTTCAGGGGCAAGCTGGCCATGTTGATCATGACATCTGGCAGGCCTGACTTGTGCTTGAGCTTAGCTCATCTACCTTACGCCAAACACAGTTGTTGTACCCTCCACCTATCCCCAGGATTTGTGACTCAGCTAATGGATCCAGTTTGCCGTCATCAAGGAGTGGCAGTACTCCTGGAGGAGCTGGGCCCAGTCCAAATCTGAGCAGATGGCATGAAAGCTTCTGGGTGAAGCTGGGAATGATGGCCTAGCTAAAGCACCTGTGCCTGGTCTTTACTCTGATCAGAGGTAGAGATAGAGAATCACTCAGACTCTCTGCTGGAGCCCTCTTTCAGGGCATCTGTCTTAACTGTGTGTTGATTCTAGCATCTCCATAGGCCTTGGCCTCTGTTCTGCTTCCAGGAATTGCCACACAAGCCCCCTCCTTGGTATCATAGTGGCTGCACATAATTCATCTCACATTCATCTCTCCAAGGCCTTCACATCTTCCCTGGAAGTTAGGCTGGTGGTGGGATGTGTTGGCAAGCCTATTTCTCAGATGGGAGAACATGCATAGGCCAAAATCAGGGATGGAAAGCACGCAAGTTCATCCAAGAAGTTGGTGGTGGGGCTGGAAACTAAGCATGACCTACCACTCACTTTTTTTTTTTTTGTACCAGGTATTGAGTCCACTTAACCACTGAGCCACATTTGCAGCCCTTTTTATTTTTTATTTTGAGACAGGGGCTTGCTATGTTGCTTAGGCCCTCGCTAAGTTGTTAAGGTGGGGTTTGAACTTGTGATTCTTCTGCCTCAGCCTCCCCAACCACTGGGATTACAGGTGTGCACCATCACACCTGGCTTCTTCTCACCTCTTGCCACTCACTTCCTTGTTTATTTCACTCTAGCCATAATGGTCTCCTCCTTAGTATTTCCTTCTTGAGCAAGCCAAACCTGTTCCATCTCAGGGCCTTTGCACTTGCAGTTCCTCTGCTTGGCAGGTTCTTCTTCCAGATCTCTGCAGGACTCTTTCTGTCTCTGCTTACACATTACTATCTAAAATAACAGACTCCTTCCTTTGTCACTCTCCTCCTTAATGGCACTTGACTTCTACATAACACGTCGTGTGTTTTGGTAGTTCATTGTTGTCTGCCAGCCTTCTAGAATGTGTCCTATTTATAGCTGAATCTCCAATAACTAAAACAGTGTGTAGAACATGATATAGATGATAAATATTTGTTGAACAAATGATTAAACCCAGAATGCCTCACTCCTGGTCCAGAACTTTTACCTTTTACTCTGCTTCCCAGAGAAGTTAGAGGATGGGGAGAGCATAGAAAGGGTTGCGGGGTTGGCTTAGACTGGAGGAAAACACTCTTGTTCCTTAGATAGAAACATACCAAACACTGACCCAGGCCATGCACCATGAGGTCTGGGTGTGTCAGAGGGCTCTCTTGAGTTCTCATGGCTTCCCCAGAGCAAGAGGGGATCATTGGGGACAGCAAATGCTTCCCCTTCAGAGCCTTTTCCCCAGAACTGGCACCACCTCTATCCTTGGGACCATTGTCATCTGCCTCCTTTTGGATCTGTCACTCAACATTTATATGCCTACTGTGTGTCAGGCTCAGGACTGGGCACAAGGGAGACAGAGATAAATGAATCATTGTCCTCACTGCCAGAGAGCTCACAGCTTAGTCACTAGCAAGGCAGATAAGCAAACACACCAGAGCACGGGGAGAGATTCTAACAGAGGAGCA